CAACATTTCTAAAGAATGCTTTCAGCACCTTGTTGAATCAATGCCACGTAGAATTAAGGCAGTTCTGAAGGCGAAAGGGGGTCAAACACCGTATTAGTATGGTGTTCCTAATAATTCTTTAGGTGAGTGTGTATATATATATATATATATAAAAATAGCTCCCATTGTTTATTTTCATTTCAGCCTTTACAAAAACAGAGGGTGACTGAAGTGGCAAATTTTCTGCGTTTTACTTAAATAAATCTAACCACTTCTTCATATGAGCAGACTAGATGATTTTTTGACTCGTATCCACATCCATTCTAACATCCACTTCATTAACAAGCTTACTAACTCCAAATCCTTGCAACCGTTGAGCTCTTATTTTCGGAAGGTTGTCATCAACAGGTTCACTTCCAGCCGTGAATAAGTTTAAATATTTCCAATACAATCACAGAAGAGCGATAATGGATGAGGACTTACGGTCAAAAAGCTATATGTTTCCAAGCTTGCATATGTCCCTTTTTCAACCAAAAAAATCCTCTATCACGTGCCCAGCATAGAATCCACCTACTGACCAATAGAAATTCAGCATCAATAATGCTGCCTAAATTTCCACATTTTCAATTATGACAGATTACCTATTATTAAGCATGCATTAAACAATATTCAGATTCGAAATATTAACAAAAATATTCAAAAAATATTTCCCTATAATTTGGCTCTAACAGTGACGTTCAAATAAGTGCAAGTGATTTTAATAAGGGTGGTGGTGCAGTGGTTAGCACTCTTGCCTCACACCTCTGGGACCTGGGTTCAAGTCTCTGCCTGGGTCACATGTGTGCATGTTCTCCTCCGGGTGCCCTGGTTTCCCCCACAGTCCAAAAACATGCCGAGGCTAATTGGCATTGCTAAATTGCCCTTAGATGTGCATGTGTGAGTGTGCCCTGCGATAGGCTGGCCCCTCTGTCCAGGGTTGTTCCCTGCCTCGTGCCCATTGCTTCCAGGATAGGCTCCAGACCCCCCACGACCCAGTAGGATAAGCAGGTTGGACAATGGATGGATGGATTTTAATAAGTGATTTAAATAAGTAATGCAAAAATGATATGTGACTCCTCCCATAACATATTCACACCAATAAAATTGCTTCCACTGCAGCCATCAGCGATCTTTCTGCCAGGTGGCCCCAGACTGATTACTAACTCTGAAAGGAGGAGATGTGAACATCCCCAGCAGCTAATGCAGGCCAGACAGGCTGTGTTAGTTCTCGTTCTAGCCTAGCTGATGCAAGGCTTGTTTTATGTGCAAATTATGAATTTAAAATTTAATTGAAACAAATTATGGATGCAACAGTACTTTCAGGAATTCTGTTTGAGAGACCTTAACACGTGAACATTTTAAAAACTGTGGTCCACACAAATCTGTACAGTACAGTGAGAGCTGATTACAGGAGTGATTCCTCTCTCATAGCTGACAGGCGGCTGATGTGACACAGGAAGGTGCCCATGCAGCAGCTACCCAAAATAAAAGAGTATTTTATTTGGTGTAATTCCACCTGAGCAAATATGATTTAGGTTCCTCTGTTATGAAACTGTGAAAAGTCCAGCCCATGCATTTACTCTAGTATAGAGTATAAGAATATTAAATCAGTATGACAATACTAAAACAAAACATATGTATCATGTCCTCTTTTCTGAAAAATATAAAGAACTGTAAAGTAAAAAGTGTAAATTGATACCTGTTTACTGGGAATTAAATGGTGTGAGTGCAGCGGTTCACTTGTCTGACCTGCCTTGCAGCCACAGAAACACTTTATAATATTAATGAACCAGTTTAGTATTTGTACTGTGAAACTAGACTGACCTCAGTATCTCCAGTTTACAGTGTGAATCCCCCAGTCCAGCAGAGAGCAGCTTCACTCCTGAATCCTGCAGGTCATTGTTACTTAGGTCCAGCTCTCTCAGGGATGAGGAGTTTGATCTGAGAGTCAAAGCCAACATGTCACAGCATGTCTCAGTGAGATTACAGCTGTTCAGCCTGGAAAAAGAAAATATGTTAATACACAGACACATATAACCTACATATTGTTAATAGTACTGACAGCAACATTAAAACAAGCGAGCAGCACAGGCCACTGGTGGACTCAGGGGGGAATGGGCAGCACCGCCCTAGTGCCCCCATGGCTGAAAAAACGTCACTAAATTTCCCTAAGGAATGGTGAAAATGACAATATTGGCTACCCATTGCCATCTAGGGTGCCCCCTTCACGGGGTATGATGCCTTATAGAGCAAGAAGATGCGATGAAGTGTATTAATGAGCCCTTCTAGTGGAGAGAATGTGATACAGTGCCCTATAAGGTGCCCATGCAATGGTCTAAACTTGTGATGGGCAGTCTTATCCAGAAAGGGCTGCTGGGTATGTTGGTTTTCGCTGCAACTCCCTAATCAGATTATTAATTAGAGCACTGATTGGCTGAAGAATCCTCACACCTGGGTTTGAACAGCTGACCTACTGTAACAGACCTGACAGACTGCTGGTTTGAGATTCGGCAGAATAGTCACATGTCTGTGGGCCCATGAGCAAGGCCCTTAAACCTCCAGTTCCAGGGGTGCTGGATGCCAGCCAACCCAATGCTGTGACCCCTAAGCTTGTTCTCCCTGTAAACGTGTCTGTGTTTCTCATGGAGAGTGAGAAGAGAAGCAAACCAATATACCTGTACTTGTGCAAATAAAGGATCATTTCACCTATAAACCCTCCAGATAAAGAGCCCTCTTTGTTTCTATAGCAGGTTAGGATGCTGTCCCAGTTATCGGAAGGCATAGTGGATGTTAGTGGAAATGTCACTTTTGTGTTTTTTACTACATCACTACCTACAGTCATTATGAAATCTGCGTTTAGAATATCAAAAAACAAATCTAGCCAAGTCATTAATCCATGAAGAGGGAGAAATTGTATGTTTGATATATTGCAAACAATTTTAATGATTTCCTGCCAGACAAGACATGTTTTACATCCTCACATCACTTACTGAGCTGTCTTGGATGTCTTGACCACAGGCAGCAGCCTCCAGTGCTCATTATCTGATCTGAAGAATTTCTTCAGATCAAACACATCCAGCTCCTCATCTGACATCAGCATCACAAAGGCCAGAGCTGAATACTGTGCAGGTGAGAGATTTTCTGCTGAAATGCTTCCTGAATTAAGGTATCTTTGTACCTCCTCTACTAGAGTATTGTCACCCAGTTCATTCAGACAGTGGAACAGGTTGATGGTCCTTTCTGGGGATAAATTCTCCTTTATTTTCCCCTTGATATATTGGGCTGTGTTCCAAATGTTATGTGAGCTGAATCTTGTCTGTCCCAGAAGCCTTTCTAACAGAGTCTTACTGGAGTCTGTTGAAAGGCCCAGGAGGAAGCGGAGGTAGAGGTCCAAGTGTCCATTCTTGCTCTCCAATGCCTGATCCACTGCAGTCTTCAATAGGTTAGCTGATGACTTTGATAGAAAGATGTATAAAGCAGCGAGATACTCCTGGATGCTCAGATGCACAAAGCAGTACACCTTATCCTGATATAAGCCATATTCCTCTTTAAAGACTTCTGTGCACACTCCAGAGTAAACTGAAGTTTCTCTGACATCAAGATCACTCTGTTCCAGATCTTTCTCGTAAAATATAAGATTGCCTTTCTCAAGGTTATGAAAAGCCAGTTTACTGAGTTTTAGAAGGAAGCATTTAATATGTTTGGTTTCATTTTTTTTCATCCATCCATCCTTCAGTTTTCTGTACCAGCTTGTCCTATTCTGGGTCGCAGAGGTCTGGAGCCTATACTTGTCATTTTTCAAACTCCCCTGAAAGATCAGGAAGTGTGTGTACATTTCAGTCAGAGTCCTTGGAATTTCTCCACTGTCAGTTTCACTAAAAAGACTTTCAAGGACAGTGACTGAAATCCAGCAGAACACAGGTATGTGGCACATGATGAAGAGGCTCCTTGATGATTTCACATGTCTGATAATCCTTTCAGTCAGGCTCTGGTCACTAAATCTCTTCCTGAAATACTCCTCCTTCTGGGCATCACTGAACCCTCGTATCTCTGTCACCTGGTCGATGCATTCAGGAGGTATCTGATTGGTTGCTGCTGGCCGGGAGGTTATCCAGAGGAGAGAGGATGGAAGCAGATCCCCCTTAATGAGGTTAGTCAACAGCGCATCCAGTGATGTTTTCTCTGTTACATCAAACCAGCTCTCATTGTTCTGAAAATCTAGAGGAAGGCGACACTCATCCAGACCATCAAAGATGAATAAGACTTTGTAACTTAACAGCTCAGTGGATTGAAATGACTTTAGTTCTGGGATAAAGCGGTAAAGCAGTTCAATCAGACTGTATTCACCCTTAACCAAATTCAGGTTCCGGAAAGGAAGAGCAAATATGAAGTGAATGTCCTGGTTTGCTTTTCCTTCTGCCCAGTCTAGAATAAATTTCTGCACAGAGACTGTTTTCCCGATACCTGCCACCCCTTTAGTGAGTACAGTTCTGATAGGTGTCTCACGCCCACGTAAGGGTTTAAATATATCATTGCACTTGACTGCAGTATCTTCTGTTCGCCTTTTCTTGGATGATGTTTCAATCTGTCTCACTTCATGTTCATCATTGACTCCTCCAGCTCCCCCTTCAGTTATGTAGAGTTCTGTGTAAATCTCTTTGAGAAGTGTTGGCTGTCCTTCCTTAGCTTTCCCTTCAAATACACACGCAAATTTCTTCTTCAGGTTATATTTTATTCTGTCCATCATGAGCTCCCCTGAAGAAATATGGGAGGAAAATGCACAATTTCTCAACAGGGTCCTGACCAGTATGAGAGAAAGAATATAAAACACACACACACAAACACATAGGACACAGACACGTTTTTCACTATTTGACTGTGATAAATGAAATTTTAAGTTGGACATCACATCATACAGATTTTTTTCTGAAAAACCACATGTTTATATATGTAGATAATAGCATAAAGTTCTTACTTTTGTCCGATATGTCACCCAGCTCACTTCCTGCTTGGTTACCTGAAATAAGAAAGAATTTATACGTTGAACATCAGTGTGTAATCATTTCCGATATAATGTTTTTTTTTTTTTTCAAGACCTAAAAAGGATTACATTTTATATGAAATACAAGAAAGGTTAAAAATATGATTACACTTCTGCAGGTCTTCATTCAGTCTCTGAACAAGATCATTCAGGTTCATCTTCTTCAGAATTTCAAGCGTGACTTTGAGAGCACCGACTTCACCATAGGAACGTATCATCATGTCGGCGATGCCCATTCTGTTCAAATTCTCCAGCTGACCCCTGGGAATGCGCTGATACTTTTCATATGCCAGGTGAATCAGGTTATATTTAATCTTATTCAGCTCATCTTCAGTGAGGTCCTCCAGAGAATGCAACAAGAGGTCAGCGAACGAGGTCTGGGTCTGCAGAATGTCAGAGATGAGTCCATGAGATCTCACAGACCTGTTTATGGTCACTCACACACATGCACTGAACTTTCCATTAACAGAAGTCAGTTTTTCTGCTCACAGTCTTATGTGGCTGCTGAAGACACCTGCTGTGATTTTTTTCATTACTATAGGAGACACACGTGTGTTTATTTCTGCCTTATTATTTAACCTTATTTAACCAGGTTAGTTTCACTGATTTAAAAAATCTCTTTTACAAGAGAGACCTGTCCAATATAAAGAGTTTAAATTTAAGATCAAATAGAGTACATTAAAACAATAGGGTCAAAATCAAAATAGACTTGAAACATCATGTTAAGGCAGCATCAAATATAATTATACATATTTTAGATTAAGTTATTCTGTTCCAGCCCGTCTGTAACATTTGGTGTAGGGCGGTACGGTACGGAAGTAGCCTGGGGAAGAGCACTGTGGAGAGGGAGCAACATTCAACTGAAAATCATTATTCATCTTAAGCTTCCCTGCCTTTCAGTGTCTGGTATTTATGGACAAAATGCATCAAATGCCGAAATGCTATAGCCAAACCTCTTGGTGAGCCATTGCTTAGATATTTATGGCTGTAAGGAAACCAGGTCCTGTGTATCAGTCTGACTCTGTAATGAAAACCAAAAGTAATGTTAGCTTTACATTCAAAAGTGAGTTTAGCAGCTGTAACATCTTACAACCAAAGCAAACTGTTCAGTTTTTACTCACACAGGCAGTTTGCAGTCACAGGCAGAGACGTCTACTGATAATTTGGAGTCATAACTATGGACCATATTTCACCCTGTGTTTAAGTCAAAAAATTGTATAGCCATTACATTGTATGTTCCTTCAATATTCAATGGGTACTTCGGAAATTAAACTATATGCTTTTCTATCAGTGTATTCAGTGCTTGAAGTGGGTCAGTACTCACAGGTATGCAGTACCAGCACCTCTTTGTTTTTCTCTTCAGAGTACCGGCACCGCACAATATCTGCTGAGAGTACTGGCACCTGCCACTGAATCACAAGGGGAATACTGGCACCTGATTCTGAATAAAAAGGGGAGTACTGGCACCTGGCACTGAATAACATGGGGAGCACTGGCACCTGGCACTGAATAACATGGGGAGCATTGGCACCTGGCACTGAATAACAAGGGGAGTACTGGCACCTGGCACTGAATAGGAAGGGGAGCACTGGCACCTGGCACTGAATAACAAGGGGAGTATTGGCACCTGCCACTGAATAACAAGGGGAGCACTGGCACCTGGTAATTAATAACAAGGGGAGCACTGGCACCTGATTCTGAATGACAAGGGGAGTAGTGGCACCTGGCACTGAATAACAAGGGGAGTAGTGGCACCTGGCACTGAATATCCAGGGGAGTACCAGCGCTTAGTGCTGAATAAGACGGACATTACCCGCATATAGTACAGAATAACCAGGAGATAATGGTACCTGGTATCGAATAACAAGGAGAGTATCGGCACCTATTTTTCTCCACTTCAAGCACTGACTGCATTTGACTGCACTAATGGTTGGAATAGCTCACAGCCACACTTTCGTGGATGTTAACTAGCCTTTAATATACAGACACAGAATTGTGGCTGGGAGAAAAATACAGCGATCAGGTGAGAACCAGCAGAAGACCACACATGCTGTGGTGCACACAATGTAAAACATGAACCTTTACCATAAACAGTCTAATAGATAACTGCAATGTAAAATGTGTACAAACTACAGTGTAAAAAGTACAATGAAATTCTTGTTTGAATGCCTTCTCCAAAAACTATCGACAATTAGCAAGAGTGCAACATTACTGTACAAAAAATACCAAGTAGGGTTCGGTTTGCAAAGTTGCATCTGAACAAAGCACAATACTTCTGAAATAAGACCAATGTGGAGATGTTCAGCACAGCACCACATTTGGAGAAAATGAAACGGCATATCAGCACAAACACTTCGTACCAACTGTCAAGCACGGTGGTAGTGGGGTGATGATTTGGGCTTGTTTTGCAGCCACAGGACCTGGGCACCTTGCAGTCATTGAGTCAAGCATGAACTTCTCTGCATACATAAGTATTGTACACTCACCTAAAGGATTATTAGGAACACCTGTTCAATTTCTCATTAATGCAATTATCTAACCAACCAATAACAATTTTGAGCGTGGCATGGTTGTTGGTGCCAGACGGGCCAGTCTGAGTATTTCACAATCTGCTCAGTTACTGGGATTTTCACACACAACCATTTCTAGGGTTTACAAAGAATGGTGTGCAAAGGGAAAAACATCCAGTATGCGGCAGTCCTGTGAGCGAAAATGCCTTGTTGATGC